GGCGCGGGAAGCTCAACATTCTTTACGGCAAGCCGTTCGCGTCTTCCGCAATCTAGAAAGTATCCAGAACAAGATGAAGTCTCCGGTGATTCATGTGTCAAAGTCGAAGAAAACCCTTCCTGTGCTGATGCGGTACAAGACTCATCACGACATAACACACTTCATTTGTCACCAGGCGTACTGTTCAAACACGCGCCCATTGATCACCAAAAGTCTTCCATACGTCTCGTCACCGTGTTGCCGGATCTTTCGACCGAGGGTTATATCCAATGCTCCATGCGCTGTACGACGACACATGCGCGTTACACTTGTTTATCGTATGCATGGGGTGAACCGAAACCGAAGCATATTCTACTGATTAATGGGCAACAATTCTACGTACAGAAGAACTTGTTCGACTTTCTTGAAAATACTCGTTGTCAGACCAAATACAAGCACGTGGAATACTGGATCGACGCTCTGTGTATTGACCAAAGCAACGTGGCTGAACGCAAACATCAGGTCGCACAGATGGGTATGATCTACTCGAAAGCGAGATATGTCATCGCTTGGCTTGGGCCGCTTGATCGTACGTTAGAGAATGTACTACTTTACAAACATGTACCTGATCTGACGAGTATCAGACTCTGAAACACGAGGAATCACGGACCACGAACATATCGCTCGCAGTGCATACTGGTCAAGAGCATGGATCACACAAGAGCTTGTATTGGCACGCCATGTTATCATCATGCTCGGCTTGAAGACTTTTAGTCTGGATCGCGGTTGGCATTACCTGTCCACTCACAATAAATCCGTGGCAGAAAGCCCAATGAGCAACTTCTTTGAGCTCAATACCACCAGGGCCTCCATATTTGGCAGCCCTTTGATATGCCTACTTCTCAAGTTTTACAATCGAAAATGTAGTGTTGCTAGAGATCGAATCTTCTCCCTAGTATCGTTGTGTTCCGAGAAAGATGATATAAAGATCGACTACGAATGTCCCGCGTTTCAACTTGCGCATCAAGTTGTTACAGCATGCCATAGTACCATCTGTATCTGTACGACCATACTTGTATTGGAAATGGTAGAATCCGATGTTCGCCAGTTATCTTCGAATGCGCTAGCGCTTCTCATGACGGACGGTCCATATCTTGAGTTCGAGCTCGCGCCACTGGATTTGGAACACTACTCCAACGACTATATTCACCACAACTATATTGACCACGGATCTTGCGCTTTGTTAGGTAAACTTGTCAGAGATTCGACTCTTGCTTGCCCGATAAAATACGAAGGAGAGGATAAGAACTTCCCTAGCGGATTTAGCTGCTGCGAACACGCCAATCGTTTTGGAAAACAGAAGTTACGTGTTTCATTTGCATACGCATGGGCTTGGTATAAGCAGCAAGACAGGTCGAAACTGGTGGACATAGAGCAGCGACTCGGTGTACGGGCAGAATCAGTAGGTAAATACACTAAGCCTACTGATCGTGTCCCACGCTTAGGCTGGGGCAATTCAGATATGTATCAAAATCAATCATAGAACTAGTACTAGTACGTAGTCTGTCGCAGAGCATCAATAATGGGTCTGCTAATCTAGAAACAAGTACTTATCTGGCTGAGTTGCTCACGAAAGCTTTGATAGAAGAATAAAAATTAAGCAGTGTGCTATCCGCTCGAACTCGCTCTTGAACTGCTCTCTAAGTATCTCAGTTCACATACGCGCTTGTATCATGCTTACCTCACGGCGAGCACTTGCCTGGTTACTCCAGTACATCGTCGCGAACGCAAGAAGTATGAGCACAGCTATATTCCAACTCATTCTGTCAACGGTTTTGTCCGAACTACCTGTCTTAGAGGGCAAACAAATATGTTGTTTCTTGATACCCACACCTGAGTGTCCAAGCGTTTCGAAGAAGTGCTGGACTGATTTTGAGGCATATTGACACGCCAGATCCGCGGGGGTATGGTCGTTATGATCCTTGTAACTTAATTGGTGGGTTGCACCCAGTTCTATGAGGCGTTGAGTAGCGACAAGATTGCCGCGCATGGCTGCATGATGGAGTACTGTGCGACCCTGACTATCGATCACATCGAGATCAATACCTCTTTCGAGCATCATGTTAATTGTGTCTGGTCGGCCACTCTCCGTAGCGTGGTGAAGTAGAGTTTCTCCAGCAAGGTCAGGCATTGACATGGCCGCCGCGTCAGGAGTGGCGAGTAGGAACGCAATAAGGTCTGCATTGCCCCTTTTCACGGCGTAGTGTAGCATAGACCTCCCATGTATGTCCTTTACGCCGTAAGATGATCGCTCCCCACTTTCGTGTGGGAAGGAGACTAGAGCTCGATGTGAGGATCTGCTACTCCAGGATACCCAATGTAGGACAGTCAGACCGCGTCGATCTTGCATCCATGGATCGATTCCGTCAGCGTAGTAAAGTAGAATTTGCCGTACTACGTCATTATAAAAGTAGTGCAATGCGCTCCGGCCTTCGTTATCCTGTTGGAAAGCGTCTGCGCCGTTTTCCAGCAGCAAGCGAGCACACTCGAAGCTTGTTCCTTGCTGAACAGCTATATGAAGAGGTGTTCTATCGCGAATTAGTAATGGGGAGATTACGGGGGATAAGAGCACGTACTGGCCGCAGTCGTTTCGCACATCGGCTTCAAGACCTTCGTTGATCAACATCACAACGATGGCAGGTCTACCGTAGCGCACAGCAAACTGTAGGATTGTTCATCAGTGCATTCTCTTGTTGATGTAGAATGAGATGCTTACATGGAGCAAGCTATATCCTCCGGTAGCGCAGTCCGACAAGGACAGCTCCTTGGATACTAATTGCTGTTGCAGATACCCTAGATCACCCCTCTCAATAGCTACAAAGCAGGAATGATCGTACGGAAGTATCCGGTAGTGTCGAAGGTTCCAGCGAAAATTTAGGGTGAAACCGCAAGATGGTATTCTAAAGCCGATGACGCTGACCTTCAATTGACGCGCAGTGATACATGGAACAGCGATGATCAACGAGACATGCTGGCCTTCCGCGTTGACTAAAGTTGTGTAAACTTCTCTTCCAGAACGCGACCAGCGCTTCAGTATCACTTTGCCTCCATGCAATCCAACATCGAACCCCGAAAGTTGCATCTGATACCAGTAATTTGTGATCATCCCGACAGGTTCAGCGATTCTCGCCAGAGATGCCAGCTGCCTTCCACTGATGTGTGTGTTATGTATCGAGGTTGTTGAGGCTTGTGCAGAGACCCTCGTCTGGCTTGGTACATCGGAGCGAGGTATGATTGAGGTCTGCGCAGCGATCGCTGGTGTAGGTAGAGCGGCATGGGACAGGCTCATCAGAGACGACGTGTGCATCAAGATGCGATTTGAAAACGCGCTATATTCTTGTAAATACGCGATGCTTTTGTCAATCGCAAAAGGTAATTACTGACATTTGCACGACATGAAGAGCTTGGGAAAGAATGGCATCCCATTGGTCTAGAGACTCAAAGAATCGCTTGAGCTGCCGATCAGAGAAGAGCCATTTGCAGCTCTCATGGAATTTTGCGATATTTTTTCCTGCTACACGAGCCCTCCTAGCATTGAGATTGGCTTCCAGTGCCCTGGCTTCATCGATGAACTCCTCTATACCACACAAGTCGATATCCACCTGGCACTCATCGGGGAGATGTTGACATGTACGCACAATGCAATTGAGTGTTACGCAAAGACACTCAAGACGTTTGCATTGTCGTCGGATATCCTTAGGTGCGTCCTTGATCGAAGTTATCGTATCGTGGATGACCCTTATTGTGCCGCCTGTCGCGCCAATGAGGGTAATAACACTCGCTATCGTGGAGACCGGATCCATGTTATGAAGTGTGTCATTTCTCAGCCATGAAGAAGGTATAAAAGTTGCTGTAGCAATGCTTCGTCTTACATCAGGCTGGAGGCCTCTCAGTTGGGTGCAGGAATCAGGTAAGCGCGGTAAAACAGAAGTGGCGCATACTGTACGCCTCATCGCCTGCAAGGCTACTGTAGGCAAAAGAGGGCATCGCAGGACGGCGCCGACTTTCTGCAGGCGTTATATAACCAGCACGAATTCGACCAATTTCATCCAACCAGTAATTAGTCCGGCTGATGGCTGCACATCCAACCTGCACAACGCATGGCATGTGACGACAATTTGACCCGAGAGCTCGCAACACTGCAACGATACAAAATGCGCGCTAGTTCCTTCGCCATGCTGACATCGAAGAATCGCATCTTTGTTCCGTAGAACGAGCTGAAAACGAGCATATACATATCCAATCGCCAGGATGACGCGCCCACAGACGCCATCTCAGGCCACCCATCAGAGCGCATACAGCGATAACGACAGAGTTTGGGTGATATATGATCGTACGGTCTCATCGGGACGATTTTGTAGGACGTACTGACTCAATGTAGAGAAGTGGGAGTTGGGTACTATTCAGGGTGCTCCGGTGTCAAGCGGCGAGTCGAAGCGTTACATTGTGAAGCGGGATGCTGCGCCAGCCTTTCCAAGCGGCATAGACATTGAGTACATCAGGAAGAAGAATTAGCAGATGATGAGGATGGCTTCTGCGATCGTAATAAAGGGATCATCTGTAGTTGCACTCGTGTTCTAGCGGGCGTCTGCCTCGGGTGGTGCCCGCAGTGACGCATTGCTGCATACGCACTGGCTGAGAGTGACATTGGAACGCTAATTAAGAATGAACATAACTGAAAACGCCCTTGCGATCCATTTTTGATCTTGTTGTGTAAATTAAAGTTTCGAGCTTCCTCTTTCGACATCGTTTTTCATCATAGCCTGAACAAGCATGTTACGTCCTCGTGATGGGCCATGTGACGTGGGAAGCGGCGTGGGATGCCTCAGTGCCTGGAGTTAGCCGTGGATGCGACGCGCCTGAAATGCAAATCAACCTCACAACTACACCTGGACAGCTATCTGCTGCAGCTCTCGACCCAGTTACCCTCGTACACACGTCGCAGACTGTGTGGAGTCACGATGCCCTCTCCACATGGCTCTGGCTCCGGCCCGCGCCGTAGTGCGACGCTTCCCATCAACCTAGAGCCACGCCAGAGGGCTACTCCGCCAGCACCCCCGTCTGAAATGACCCACTGCCTACGTGGACAGTGAGTAGCCCTTCCGTACGCAGACGCATCTACAGGATCACTGACTTGAGCAGAGCGAATGAGATGACATCGAGTCCGCGTTCCGACCGTGGCACCGCCGAAACAGCCGGTGTACTTCCACAACCAAGCTATCACTCTTTCGTAGAGAACTTGGACCATAGGGGACGACAGTACCCCCATGGGAATAGTCGTGGTCACACAATGGGTGCGCGTATCGACGTGCACCTCCAAGCGCACATTGTAGTTTTTGTTCCGCCAGGCCACAACCCTCATCGCGGCATGCCACCCATCAGCCTCAACTTGGCTACCGACCCCCGAACCCTGGCTTCAGAACCCCAGACTGCACTGAGCATCGGCGAGCGGACGCCGATCGTCGAATCACCTCGATCGTATCACGACGGTACCGATGTGCGGTCCCCTGCCACCGAATCAACGGCGAGCGACTTGAGCGAGCTAGGTTGGCCCTTTCGCCCTTCGTGAACGCTTTGTGAAAGGGGGATCAGATCAACACTGGAACACATAATAAGGAGTTTTTGGAGTTTGGCGCATGAAGTGCTTCGGAATTTTTAGTGGGATTTGGTCCATACGTTTTGGTGCATGCGGGCGGCGGCGATTGATGTTTGTCACCCTCTTCAGGGATCACGGCAAACATCTGGCGCGTATTCCGTCATTGCTCTTGAGAGATACCCTTCCTTGTTTTCTTTTTCTAGCATTGTAAAGCGTCGCAAGGATGTGTCTGTGAAAGTTACACTGGATTTGAAGCATAGTCCAGGCAGTAGTATACGAAGTCGTGTCATGACCATTGCAAATACATTTCAATCTACGATTACCCGTACCGTCCACCGCTCAACAACCACATCAGCAACGCCATCAGTTCAAACTCTAACCTCAAGAACATTCCCATGTCTTCACGCAACTCCTGCTCTAAACCTGTGTATCTCCGTGCTAGTGCACACCTATCCTCCCATCTTCCCATATACCTCAATCCTTTTGCTAGCTGCAACGCACACTGCTTTGTTGCCATCTTCTCAGGTCCAAGGCGCTCTTCATACAACTGAAGTAGTCGTTTTGCGCTGTCGGTCCCCTCCTCTACGTGCTTCTTGGATTTGAGCTTAGCTTCGTTGAGCCTCCGTTCCAGATCCCACGTACGCCTACACTGCCCATATCTGCTTTTCGCTCGGTTGCATGCAGCCTCTAGTGTCGTAATAGCTTGGTTGACCAGACTAGCTGTGCCTATCTTGGTGTTTGCGACTGCAATCTCCTCCCCAATTTCATCGTGCAATACAGCGTCATCAGCAAACCACTGAGATGCGGCGTCTTGAGCAAGCTCGAGAGCTTTCCTAGCCTTCTTCCAAGATTTGTGCGCAAGTCTTGGATTTTTCTGGTTTTGTTGGATGCCTTCCATTGTGTATAGCAGGCCGTCTTCTCTTGTGACCTTGAGCTGCAACATGCGGATCGATCTCCGTCTTTGGTCTTCCTCTCGAAGGTTCTTCGGTAAGCCGAAGCGTACGCGACATCCGTTGCCTTGAATGGGCTCAAGTACCTGGCCATCTCGCTTGATGAGCACACCGGTGCTCTCAATGATGTGCGACAATTCTCGCCTTGCGGGTTCAACACGCCCTGATTTCCAATACACTCGGACCTTCTCTAGTTGAATCTCTAGTTCTGGAGAAGCGAACTGGGTCCATGGTAAGTCAAGCTCTTTTATTCGATGAGCTTCCGCTTGCAACTTGTTGATCAACTCCTCAGCTTTGCCCCAAGACTCGGCTGAACAGTCATCCTGTGGACGGGCGAGATATACTTGAACTAGTTGTCGCATCAGATGAAAGGAAATTCTTGCCTGTTTCGACTTTCCAGCATCTGCCGCATCGATCTCACTGAGATCACACTTGAAATGAGTATGTGCGTAGGCAGTTACCTTCATTGCATCGTCATACCTGTCTTCATCGAGAAGAACCTTCGAGAACAATATGACAGCCCGGACAGCTAAGTCGCCCAGCGTGAAGTTTAACTTCTGGGGATGTTTCTTGATGAAATCCAGAAAGCATTCAAAGTGCGGCATGAATGCTTGCTTAGATGCATGTGGTTTCAAAGGCTTGGTCTTCGTCTGTTTGGATGAGTTGCCGTGATTAATCTTGTGCGCCTTGCAAATCATCGAGAGCGACTTGTTGTAGTGTTTCACTATCGCCTCTGGACCATACTCATCGCTGCAAGTGTGGCCTAGGCCGCGACCATTATCCATCCAACCCAACAGCGCACGTCGTACGTGGGCATTGAGAACATAGATTGTTTGATTTTGCTGGTAGTCCATGGAAATCATGGAACAGTCCTGCAAAATATCCAGCATATCAACCAATGCCTCCTCCTCTTGCTTGTACTCAGATAGCAGCAAGTCCCAGCTGACTCCCCGGGAATGGAAGAATGCCAGTAGAAATAGGAAGCGAACTACGCGAGGCCAAGGCTTATCCTTGAACGATCCATCGGGGTTGAGGGGCCGAAGAATATACTCAAGATAGTCTTGAGGGGTGGTTCTAACGGTTGCGAAGCTATTGTCGTCTAACCTCTTGTTCATATACCCGACTACCAGCGACTTGTTATTCATATGCTTGGCTGCAGATCTTATCATGAATGGCGACCACAGCTTTTCGACTAACGACTTGGTCTGGTGATCGTAGGGATCATCTACCTGGTTCTCACTATCCTGCGGATGCCGAGTAGTAAGCTTTCTCCGAATGTGATGCTTGAAGAGACGCATCGAATCTGTTTGGTTGAGCACATCGACCTGTACTTCAGGAATCAGCCTTCCCTCCACATCCTTCACAGTAGCGCGCGTGCGTGTTGTTATGAGCATCTGACAATATTCACACTCAGGCACTGGCAACATCTCCCAAAGCTCCTCTGCATACTGAACTGAGTCGAATCCATGCACAACCATAAACCAGCCGCCATTTTGACGGTTCTCTAGCCATGCTTTGAGAGTCTTTCCTGTGACCTTGTCGAGCGACTTTGTTCTGAATTCCGATTCGTCGTGAGACATGTTGATTTGATGCGCGATCGCGTCGTATGATTCAAGTAACGCCGATTTGTTTTTAGCCTCCACTTCGAAGGTGTGCCTTTGCATGGCTTTATCTGCAGGTTTCACAAACTGCGACGCGTATTCCCGTGCGATTCGTAATTTTCTGATGAGTTAGCTGGCAACTCTGTAGTCAACCATGGAGCGTAGCATACCCAACACCTCCCAACCCGTACAGTGCTACTGTGTCTGATTGGACGAAACTGTCAGAAATGTACTTGTACAGATCTTGCCGTCCAAAGAGTATGTCAATGCTGCTGGGCGATGGGATGTTCGATAGAGTCTTTTGTGGAACTGAGCTGACTTTGAAACTCCCAGTGGTAGATTGGGGCGTATAACGACGCCATTCCGCTGCAGAAATAATATCGAGAAATTCTTCGGACCTTAACGATGGCTTTCTGGTATCGGTTTGTGCTTCCATCTTCTTTTGTGCGCGCACAAATGGATTATGCTTCATTTTGGGATCGTAACCTCGTGATGATTGGATGATCTTCTTTAGTCGTTTGTTGACTTCGGTGCAGCTCCGCATTGGGTCGGAAAGGATGAATAAGTCTATCTCGACTTCCCAGGCGTATATTCGCTCGTTTCGAGGCGATAACATCTCCTTTATCAATTCCAGAATCTTCTTGTCTTCATCCGAGTTGCATTTACTTAGCAACTCTTCCATCCACCTATGCACTGCGTTCATCGATTTGCAGTAATCGCCAGCTTTGCCTACGTTCTTCAATGGCCCTTCGTACGAATCATCCTTTTCTCTGCGTTTTCGAAGTTCCGGGATCCCATCTGAACCCCAGCCCTGGTGCAATATGGTGGCCAGTTCCAGGAACACGCATCCAAGCGAGAACACGTCATGTGAACGACCGTGTGTTTGTCCGTCCTTACTGTATTGATCGGTGAAAAACTCTGCAGGCGCCCATTCCGTCGTGGTGACTATATTTGTCGTACCAGTATCACCCAAAATCTTTAGATTGGAGCTGCCGAAATCGCAAATTTTCCACATCTCCGATCCTCCCGCCCCTTGGAATAGGAGCAGGTTGCTGGGCTTAATGTCTCGATGATAGCCGATCAGTCCATTGATCTCCCGGTGAATGTAAGTGACTCCGGATGCAAGGCCTAACATTGCGTCAGAGTAGACAAAACGGCGCAATTCTTGTTTCCCTGTACTCATATGCTCGGGTCCTTTCGTAAACCACGCATGCATGTCCATAGTTGCCAGTGGGGAAAGAAGGTACAAACAACGGATAGGGCTATTTGCAGAGCCAGGAGACTCGAGTCCGGCATAGAAACTCACTAAGAGTGGCGTGATATTACTGTGGCGTCGTGCTTGAAGCATGTCTACTTCCCTCTGTACCATATCCCATTCCTCGAGTTTATGTTTGCTAATCTTTTTGTAAGCTATGCTGGTGCCCTATTCAAGTATTAGCAAGAATATAGGAGACTAATGCACGACCATACCTGTGATCGATCGTTGCTTTGCTTTGTTTGAAGAAAAAAGCCGGATACTTCTACCGCATGGACATCCCCATGATACCCGTTTCCGAGAGTTCGACGTTTACTTGTGAATGGGAAACGGAAATGTTCTGCTGGGAACTCTAGTGTCTTTTGTGCGGATAGACTAGGCGGAAATATCCATTGCTTTCGGTAAAAAGCATCAGCAATGCCGTCAAAGAACGTCATACTCTGTAGTCGTTCCAGCTCATAGATATTTGTGGTTGGTTCGAACAGATATTCATCGCTTATAAGCATGGCCTCGCTTTTGGGCATTCGCTGGATCTGGTGAATTCGACGCGACTCGCCTATGAGGAGGAGTATGGAGTAGAGCTGCTTCTGCTTTTCTCTAATGCTCACAGCGAGCTGTGTTCGATGATGCGCTGAATGTCTTCGACCTTCTGGGTGATCATTCAATTGTTCCGCGAGGTTCTCCGTGGTGAAAATCTCCTGAACGTAGTCTACGGTTAGAAATCCCCCCCTGTACTCAAGACCGTTTTTGTGGATCGATTCATTCATCTTAGCCTCCAAAAGCGCTTTGAGGTCGGCTGTAGGGAGTTTGTCGGCCATGGGAGATGGTCGGAACGTGATGGTTACGAAAATCGAGAGGCTGTGCAATCAGCAGGGCAAAGAGACTGAACGGCAAAAACATGCTACGTTGCCAGGCTGAGCGTAAGCGATGATTTCGGTAGACGCCGCCATCGCGCAAGCCCAGTAGATTATGTCGGTACTGGCGCAATGCTTACCGTGCCTGCATTCGGTGCATGCTCCAGCTTGGACAGGCTGAAGCTACGTCATGCGAGGGCATTGAGTAAGGTTCTACGAGCGGCCTCCAATACTGCATCGCGGTGTGCCATTTGGTGAGTGGGAAATGATGCATGCTCATATTGATACGAACGCCTGCTTGCCTCTTTTTTTGCCTTCTCATGCAGCCGCTGCAAGCCTCGGCGGATGCAGCTCTATCTCGACCTATCATCGACTTCTTCAGCCTCGTTGCGTCCACACTCTACAGGCGAAAGGCGCACATCCATTACGCTCGTCGCGAATTCTCAGCCTGAAATATGCGGTCAAGGAATAATAGGCAAACGTGAAGCGCTCTTGCTCCAGCGAACTGCTCACGCGTTGAAGCTAGGTCGCGGGACACGCGACACGCGACTGTCTTCGCGTTTTTCGGTGGGCATACCAGCTTCCTCAAGACCGTCGCGTTGTTTTAAACGTCCCTGAGTGTGCATCTCCAAAGGCGGTATCAGAGCGACAGCAACATATTACATCAGGATGCGGGGGTGAAGGCTAGAAGAAGGCTGAAGGACATCAGATGTGACGTGTCGGGAACCAAGAAGTTGATGGGTCGATGATCCGCCCGCCCCGCCCGAGGAGCTAGCACTGGGGTCCACATCCGCCCCAACGCGGCGCCTGCAACGAGCCGCACTGAACATGACGCGAAGAACCCCAATCTTCAAAGCGAACAGCCGTTGTGAAACATGGTCCCTTGTACCAAGAGTTGGTATAGTAAGGTGAAATCAGAGAGGGTTACTTGTATTAGCTTTCGGAATATAGTAGCAAGCGTATCGTGTACATCCTACGGTCCTTGTCTCAGTCGAAAGAGCGTGGGGCATCCAATGCAGTCACTCTTCTGCCCTAAAGCCCTCTGACACAAAGTTAAAGAATCTCTCAGCGGTCGAGAGAAGAACTCCCTGCTGTTGGGCAGCTTGTGCCGAAATTTTAGAAGGACTGCAACTGGTACTGAAATTAGATGACCAGCTTGTGTACTCTGGACGGTGAAAGTATCTGTGCATATGTAATTCTGCTCGTCTTCGATGCCGATCCAATCTACCGGATTGCTGAATCGATCTGTGAGCGAACGGATCGGTATGGTTGTATTGCTGTGAAGATCACTAAGAAAGTAGTCCTCCTTGGTGTTGTACGTAGATTGCGAAGGACAATCTTTGTAGAGACGAACCACGATAGCACCACCAAAGAGATACCGTAGAAGTATTGGTATGAGAGAGCATGTATGTCGAGGATCGTACTGTTTCACAGAGCTGATTTGCCTCACGCTTACGTTTCTTCTGTGGTGTGCTGATTCCCTGTCTTCATCAAGCTGGAATGTCTGCCCCTCTTGCCAGTAGCTAAACCGAAGGCCACGCACATCAATCTCGAGGCCAATGTGGAGAGTCAAGATACGATCATTCCCAGGTTTTGGACCAAAGAGAGTCAAACAGACGACAAGGGCTGAGCATAAACACAAAGATCCCTGACAGACTGTCAAGGTTTCATAGACAAGTTGCTCGACCGAGTTCGTGTAATCGATCTCGATCCTTGCCTTCTCTCGACATAGTGAGACGAAAGCAAAAATGCGATCCTGATCAAGAGTGGATCTTGCCATTGAGAAGTCAGCAAGTAGCGTGATTAGACCTTTGCCGATAATGTTGCTGCGTCCAATGCTGAGTACTGAGAACTGAGCGAAGGGACTTGCTCTGAATTGCCACATATTCGATCGGACAGCGACTTCGACGAGCTGCGAGATTTCGCTTGTGTAGGAGCCCAACCGAACAACGACATGGCGCGCCAGGATGATCTCTTGGATGATCCAGCATCGCTGCCAATACTTGTTCTTGTAAATGTTTGTCGTTAACCATTCAAAGAGGACCTTTTTGTTCATGACACAAGCTTGTACAACTGCCTTCAAGTCTTCTTCGAGAGGCTTGTGTAGTGTACCAGGCCACTTTGTTTCTTCTTCTTCTTTTCTCATTCGATCGTATACTTCTTGGTTCAGATATTCTAGTATATCATTACATCCATTCGGCGGCTCTGAAGGTCGGCCCAGCCATGCGTGAACGCACCGAGCTCCCGAGTAGATTTCGCCCATTTGAGAAACCTGATGCTTCTTCTCCGCTGAGTCATCTTGATTAATACAAAGAGCATCTATCCAGATTGGATCTCGGTACGTCGAATGGACTGTGTCCAAGAAGTCGAAAAGGTTTGTCTGAATGAGAGCCTGTTTTCCATTGAGGAGAATGAGCTTACGGGGTTCAGGATCTCCCCATCTGTACGACAAACATATGTAGTGGGCACCCAGTAGCCTGGTGTGTGACATAGAACACTGAATAAGTCCGTCGGGTTGTGATAAAGTAGGCTCAATCGTGATGAGACGTATGGATTGTTCGTCAACTGGGAGAGGCTCGTGTTTGAATGTTTCTCTTTTCGGACTCGCTAGGCTTGTTTGAGTTGGTGGATATATCGCAGCGCAACTGTCTTGTTGTGTTTCCGACTCAAGAAGTTGGCCTCCATGCGCGCAGTCCGTCGTCGCTTGATCGCTAATTGGAGAAGACATGACATGAACAGAATCGCGAATGTCGTCTCGATTGGTTAAACGAAGACATCGAAAGCATGAAAAAAGCATGTCGTTACCGGACAATGTGCTTGTAGAGAGGTGAGTGCCGTGAACAGTGAGAGCTGGGTTGTTGGATGACCTCTAGGCAGCCGCGGGGAAGGAGCGGGAAGAACGCCGCGCATAACACATCCCATCTACAGCTGTCAAATTGTATCCCATATCAAGATATCCACATCACAATACACAGTATTGACGCAAAAGAAACGGAGATTGATACAATGTCACCAACGCGCATCGAACCACCAAATATAATGAGTGTAGTAATAATGTTATCCGCAACTATGCTACGCCACCATGTTCCAAAGAACAGGCGATCTATAACCACTGCGAGATACCAGATACTAAAGAATGATGGAGGGGTATACCACAAATAACGCCAGAACCAGACCCCATCTATAAGAAGCCACCATGCGCCATTGTAATCAACGGCGCAATACCCAACAGCACAACCCCTTACTCCTGCAATTGATGCGTAGGACAAGCACCCCGTCCCTTCTTATCCCACCACTCCTTGATACATGTCTGTCCTCCTATTAGAATTTCTTCTCACACTTCATTCATTCAGAGTTAACATACCTCATGGAACTTGCACCAGCAAACCAACCTAGCCATCTTATCCCCCGCCTCAAAATCCTCAAGACAAATCGTACACTCCGCCACCCTCCCTTCCTCGTCCACACAATCCTTCTCCGTCGCCACATAAGGAAACATGCCCCTAGCAGCATGACTCATTCGATTCTGCAAGTTACTAGCCCCTTCGCCGCCATTGTTATGATGATGATTATTATTGAGATTCGCTCCCGCACTACTCATACCACGCGTCCGCTGAGTAGGCAAACTCTGGCTATTCTGCGTCTGCGTTCGATTCAACGCGGCTGTGGGACCAGGAGAAGCAGAGTGCAGAGCAATACATTCCTCAATGTGCTGCGTCCTCTCTGCATCGTCGCCATCTGGACCCTTTGGTGGTAATTCTTCGCCGCAGATGGGACATTCGTCTTCTTCGGGAATCTGTCTTCTGGGTCTGGGTGGCTGTGCGTGCTGTGGCTGCAGAGGAGGAGGCACAGGCGTGGATGTCGCTTGACCAAACGGACTAGTGCCGGAGAAAGATCCGTAGCCAAAGTTTACGTGGTTTTGCGCTTGTCGGGCGCGGTTATTGGCTATGGTTTGGGAGATCAAAGGGGCGCGGTGGTGGGGATGTTGGTGTTGCTGCTGAATCGCAGATGGAGGGAGTGGTGGAAGGCGTCTTTCTCCAATATTGGAATTACCATGATAACTCACTCTCCTATTCTGATTACTCTCATTGGGGGTATCACGTGCACCATGCGTCTGTCCTTGACCTGCGAAGCGACTGGCATCATGTACACTCGAACTACTCCTGTGTGCACGAGGATGCGGCGGCGGCGCAGATGGCACCTGTGTCGGTCGAGGTGGAAAGGGGCGCGACCCATGACCAAGTGAGTCGTATCGGGGTGGTGGACTGAAGTTTGGGTCAGGGACACATGGGTTGCAAACGCGGACTTCCTCGCCGCCGCCTAGCGCTGGATTGCGGAACGGGCCGAATGGCGACATGGCGTTCTCATCTTCGCCAGTCAGGTCGATGAAGTTTGCCGTGCTTTCAGATGGCGGATGTACAATGAACTGGCGGGGGATGGTAATACGATGTGGCGAACAGGAAGCGCATACGACTCTTCCACACTTCCTGTCTCCGCAGTTAGTAGTCGATATAATCATATCCTCGGATGAAGCCGAAGCTCTTCAAACGGCAACGTCTTATGCCCAACGTTATTGAAAATATAAGACTTCTTAGTACGTACCTGCAGTGATGCCTCCGGAGTAAAAACGAAAATGGCCTCCTGCACACGGGACACTGCGAGACCTCGCTATCCGGCTGCCATGGAGGCAGCACGATATCACTCTGCCTCCTCATGGGCCCCGTATGCGTATGTGATGCAACCCCCATGGTTGGAGTGGGTGGAAGTGGTCTATTCGAAGCAGGCGACGAGTCCAACACGATCGGGTCCGTATTCGAGTCCCCAGTGTTTTCCGAGTGCATGCGTATGCTCGATGGTCGTCTCAAAGGCGAGTCCGCGGTCGTGAGGCGTCGCTTGCGATCGGAGCTGCGAGAGGACGACTCAGTGCGTGGTGAGGGGCGGTTTGGAAGTGTGTAACGTGAGGAGGAGGGGTTTGAGTGGGCTTCGGAGGCGGCAGCGGGGGAGGAGTTTGCAGACTGTGGTTGCTGGTGGACAGTGGTCTCGGTACCGTCTCTCAGAAAGTCCATCCACGTTTCGCGGTCTTGAGCCAGGAAATGGGAGGCAACAACACCCTGTGAATGATGTCTGGAGTTGCTCCCTATGACAGCCTCGCTTTGTCCATCTACACTGCTACTCGCTCCGTCATACTGACCGCCGTATGCGTGCGAGTTGTGGGTGAAAGGACCGCTCGGGCGTTGGTGGGCGTTCGGAGGCATCTGGGAGGTCTTATGACGGATCGACGTGACCGAAGACGGAGGACAGTTTCAACCTATCTCCACTGCGCCGAAATCGAAGGCAAGTGAGCCTCTGCTTATGCGACGTGAACGGGAGGGGCGGTCTTCGTAGAGAAAGTCGGCCGGCTCACGGCAACATGCCGCCACTTGTTTCTGCTAACAACGCTCGCACCGTTTTTAGTAATATGCCCTGAACAGTGCTGCTTCTTCCAATCAGCACGTGGCCACACTCCAAGTAGCTTTCACTCACCTATCAGTTGCGCGGCCTTGGGTTGCGGTGTAGAGGCCGGAGGTGGGTGGGTCCTGCGCGCGTCGGCTCGGCGAGGGGAACTGCAACCACTCTCTGCGCCGCTCGTGATTAAGGAGACAAGGTCCAGGCTATCGGGAGGAGCAAAGGCAGACCAGAGAAAACAGGTGACGCGAGACGTAGCACGGCCCAAACAAGGGAAAACAGCTAGCTTCGAGGGGTTCGTGAGCTTCGTCGTGTCTGAATGCCTCAGGCGTCATATCGCCGTTATCTTAGCCCCTTCACGCGACCATCTGCGCCGCCACGCCTGCCTTAGCCTCGTCAAGGAACAACGAATCGCCGACACATCCCCCCCCAGTCCTCTTCACGTGTCAAAAAGCTTCGCATAGACTCCTATAGGTAGTCTCAAATTGACTAAGATTACTATTGTACGTGCTGGTCTGACCAGCGTCCTCCAACCTCGCTTGTATGTAGTAGTTCAAGATAGTATATAGTGCCCACGTCTACGCCCTAAAGAGCCAATCGCTCACATATTCCAAGAAACGCCATCAAAATCGCTTTTGAACAACTGTACAGTAATGAGACTCGTAAGTGCGTGTTGTGCGCCAAAATCGAGATTACAAATGAGACATATCGGTCCCTTGATAATGTGCCGAAAACATCTGAATGAAATGACCTCATCTCTTGTAGCTGCGTCCGCTGTGCTGCGTGCTGCCACTGCGACTCCGGTCCACAATCTCTGCCGACGCTTCCAGGTGGCTTCCCGCGTCGTACACGTTCCGCTCCACGCTGTCCTGAGTAACATGATGCTGAACAACTCCAGTGCTGAGGGGTCGCTCCGACGTTCCGCCAATTGGTGTTGGCGCATGCAAACTCGTGCCGTCGTTGCGATATATGCTTGACGCCGCCGATGGCCCAGGCGAGCGCTCTGGTGAAGGGTCTGTAGATCCAAAAGGTAGGCGAATAGGCAATCCGCCAGCTCCACCTGGTTGCAGGTGTTGACTTCGTCTTTGACTCATCGGGCTTTCCGATGTTGGCACGTCCATGACTGTGGACAACCGATCTGGAAGATAAGCTGCTTCCGTAGACTTTGTACGCCTAGAGTTCTTCCGTGGTATTGAGGGTACGCGACTTGGGGGTCCTGTTGCTTGTGTAACGCGAGAGGCACGCGACCCAATCCTACTGGGCAGCTCAATTCCGCCAAAGCTCTCGATAGGCCCCAGGGCCGGCGCAGTGGGTGAGACACGGTCCACGGGACCGTAATCTTCTTCGTCCTGGCTCGTATCCGAATCGCTATCGGTAGAGTCTCGTCTCTCGCCAGTCAAGACGGCCGCTGTCGCCACGCCCGATCCTCCAGATACGTTCCGAGCTCGCGGAGGCGATTCTGGACTATCCCGATATGGCTCCTGCACAACCTCTGGCGATTCGACATTTTCTTCAACAGCCATCATCTGTGGCGGCATGCGCGTGCTCCTAACAACCTCGAAACCCTTACTCTTTTCCTTCTTCCGCCCACCCAGCAAGTTCAAGCTCTTGAACCAACCGGTAGCCGACGACACAGGACTCATTGGATCCGCTGGTCCTGTCTTCAACTTTCGCGTGGGTTGCGAAGACAGGGCAGGGCCGCGAAGTCCGTAGTAGAAGTCAGATTCGCGTACAGAATAATCGGTGTTGTTGTTGTTCCGTCTGTCGAGATTGGGATCAGAGTCGTCGCGATTCAGCCGCAGATAGGCCGGGGCGGGTGTTCCAGAGCCACGAGATGGGCCTTCACCAGCCTTGATAGCTTCGATATCCATATTGTCAGAATATGGTGCATCCACAATGTCTGCACTTCCTAAAGGTCCCTTCCCGAGCGCCGGAGCAGTCATGGAATCCATAGTATGTTTACGAGGGCGTGGAGGTCGATAGTAAGGATCCGCAGCATCCATGGTGCCCATGGTAGGTCGACGGGAGCTCTGGCCTGATGATCCGCCCAAGAACGTGAAGGGTACTGCACCTGATCCTGGAGTTGGGCTGACATTTCCGTAGTCACCCTGGCTGAAGCCGTCAAATCCAACACTTGCGCGTTGGCTATCCCGGTCATAAGGTCCATTTAGAAGAACAGCTGAGCTGGCAGACAAACTTCGAGAACGGCTGTTCATGAGCTGTATGTTCTTGTTCTCATCGTGGGATAGCATGGCGGCATTCGAGTTGAGACTGCCGCGAGTCGTTCGGCGACCATTACGTTTCGACAGTTGTCGCTTTCCGAATACCTTTGTAAGACCACCTCGCGTGTCAGCGCCTGCACCCGCAAGTCGGGCAGAGACCTCGATGATTGTCTGAAGAGCATTCAGGAAAAAGCCAAATATTAAGACAATGGCGTGAAGTAATAGAATGATGTACCCAATCCACCCTTTTGGTGCTTCGTCTACATCAAGCGACGGTACGAACGCCACCGAGAGGAGAACGCAAATGAGTCGTACAGTCGAGAAGAAGGTATGGTAGGCGTTCATCGAAGTGTTGGACTGGAAAGGGCGGAAGGCATGCAAGGTGAGAATCAGAATCACTTCGCATATAGCAAGTATGATGATTTGGGCAATACCAGAAGGCTGAATAGCACCGATAGCAATACCACGGATGATGGTGAGTAAGACAGGGATGAAAGAGAACGGCGCCGCATCATCAGAATAAGTATTGTAGAGGGGTCCGTAGGTCAGAACAGTGGGAAGGTCGTCGAACAAGTGGGCGCGAGGGCGTGTGGTGAAGATGAACCAGAAGATCCAGGTGGCTACTCCAGCAACGACGATAAGCATGATGACTGCTGTAGAGACGACGGTAGCCGGCGAGCGAGGGCCAACCACGAGCTGGAACAAGGATAGTGCTATGATGGGAAGCAGGAAATAGTTGAAAACGACACGGATGATGTTGCCAGCTGTGAAGGCGAAGTTCTTCCCTGTCAAGTCACCGTCCTGCGTTTGAGTTAGCCAGCGGTAGAGCCAGCGTACGAAGAAACCAAGTTGGGTAAGCACAACGACACAGGCGATGAGGACTAGCAGGAAGATAGCCATGCATGCCCATATATCACGCTCCTTGGTCATGCCGACATACTGGCCAAGCCGAGTCAGACCGTACGTTCCGTTGGCGAAGTAGATGCCGTCAACAAGACTCTGGGATCCATTACCTCCACTAACGAAGCTTTGGTTCCACAAAAGAATTGACCAGCTGGCCTGGCTGATGGCGGGTTGGAAGTAGCCAGGGTAGTTGAGACTGAGACTACCTGCCAATACGACGAACTGGATGTACTGCAGACAATCTCCAAAACCCGGGGTGACCAGGCGCAACAAGTCCTCGTCTCGACCGTAATTGGTGGTCCATCGGAAGATGTTCGAGGTTCCCCAGGGGCTGCACGTGGCGGCAAACACGGTTGCAATAGCCACGAGCGTAAGTATCGCAGCCGGGAAGTAGCACAACGCATCCGTGAGTGTTTTGCCGAGATCTGGGGTGATGTTGGCAGACATGCAGCCAAGAGCCTGGGCATTGTCGTCGCCAGAGACGATGCGCAGTGTCGAGGCCCATGTTGAGAAGGCATACGAGCTGTCAAACTTGTGTGCAACACTGACGGCAGGCATGGTCCAGAACTCGCTCAAATTACCACCAAAGGAAGGGGCGACCGGGCAGCTTGTGTTGAGGACGGAGTCACAGAACGAGGTGGGGGGAGCCGTGTATGCCGAGTATGACAGAACCCTGTTGCTCCAGAACAAAGTAGTGAAGTGCTTGTGGTTCGGCGCGAGTCTCACAATCTTGCCAAAGGTCATGTTTGGGTCCTTCCAGTTGTCATCGTCCAGCGGTGGGTAGGGGCCAGGCTGGGCTTGGCCGGAGACATTTCCGTAGACGGTGACGTTCAACAAGTAGTCGGAACTGAAGTCAGCCCAGACGTACTCGGGCGTGAAACGTAGGTAGGGTGTCTGTTTGCCATCGGCCAGGTAGACTCGTGTCAGGCAATCTTCGAAATTTACGAATACGGCGCTCGCGAGCGGGAGGAAGGAGGCAATGACCAGGACGAGGACAAGTGGAAAGAATGCGCTTAGGGTCGGCAACGTGGAATGTTTCCGTCTCGATCGTGGGGGCGTCTGTGTGGGTTGAAGGCAGGGCATCTCGAGCTGAGTATTGTCAGGTAGCCGTAGCGCGTCATCGCGCGAGGTGGTAACGGCCATTATGACGTCCCCCTCTTCATGTTCACCCTCCAGTCTGCCTCTCAACGCGGTCGTGGTGGGTCGGCGAGGTATCGTGGGTCGGCGTGAGGGTGTCGTGTGCGGCTCGAAAGTGTGGTGGGCGGGTGTAGGTCGGATTGCTCTGGTATGAGATCCGTTGGGGCGCAGCTGAGGAGGAGTACTACAGCGAGCGAGGGTAAGCCTGCAGCGAGTGAAACAGGCGTCAGAGGAAGCTACGACGCTGAGTTGGCAGGGGCGACGGGGCCCGGGTGATCAGCAGCAGCAGTGCATGGACAAGAGGGAGATTAAAAAGAGTCGTATAGCGAGTGTAGGAATCGAAGGCGGGTGAGGTTGGAAAGCTGGAGTGACCCGCAGCGCTGGTAGGCAAACTCCTGAGGCGAATGTTTACGGTGGGGTGCAGCGGAAGAGGAAAGCCAGGCCACAGAAAGCGCGACAAGGCGCTAGCTTCGTATACCGGTGCACAGCACGCTCCTTCCGTTTCGACTCGACGGTTGGCCACAGAGAAGGTGCGGGAAGGTCTGTTTTCGTAGACGCGCGACGGTGACGATACTGCGCGCCGGCGAGCAGGACAAGATCCATTGCATTAATACGTCTGCTATCGCAGGCATTCTCACAACGTCATCGTCATGCCACTACCACTTTCTGTGTAAAGGAGTAGGGCGACCTCTCACGCTTAATCGTGATGCCGACGGAGCAGAGGCGCATGTGATTGGCTCACAAATACACTTTTAACAACTGCAGAATGCGGAAGTGCCACATCCGCCGCGCCCCTAGCGCTATTGGCGCGATTGCTCTCATTTTGATTGTGATATAAGGATGGACTACATGCTATGTCAAGCATCACGACAGACCTCTCCCATCATCACTGCAAATCATCTCCATCAGGCAGGCTGCCGCCCGTCTTTTGTTGAGCGCATCGGCTGAATAACCTAATGCTCTTGCCTTAGGGCAGTGGCGCAGCCGGGAGACTAAATTTAGCGTCCTGCCCAGGTGTCGATCCTGTCCAGGTTTCATCCCGTGCAAATCACTGCAAAGACAATGCGAACACCTGCACCCAACTACAATGCCATTTCCCTGCCGCGACTTTTGCTGACATTGCCATTGAGTTTTACCCGGTTAACGCGTCGCTTATCCTTTTCACGTGCCGACTACGCATACACTTGCATGATGCAATCGAGTCGCGTCCTTTGGCTTCGGCCCGCTTTCGAACGTCGGTCGTCTGTGACCAACGACTATCCCAAAGATCATCATGTTGTTGTTTTCATGCCGTCTACATTCCAAACTAGGTTTGACGGCTACAAGCATAATCACGACAACAACCACATTCAACGCTTTTGGAAACAGCCAAGCGTCGTTTGCGGTTCAAGACTTTTACTTCGTTGAAGACTCGAGTGATCGGCAATAGGCCGACGGTGTGTTGGAACAAATCTCAGCCGTCCTTAATCATCGGAACGATATCAACACAACAGGGTCCAATCGGCTACTTCAACTTTCCCGCTGCTAAAGCTCGAGAAATAACCGTAGCTCATATTGTGTTGCGCCAAACACATGAAGTTGGAGTAAGCTTTGGTCGAGGTAATGCATCTGGTCGTCTATCTGAAACGCTAAGTACCAGTAGTCCAAGTACAACGCAGGTCTCCCCTACCAACGTTTACCTCTTCTTCCTTTTTACCCACCGCCACAAACCATACACACATCTCTGAACCGTTGATCGGATTGACTAGCCTTTGTTATTCCGCAACGTTGCACCCTCTTGTAGTTCGCTTGCACTTCCTGACACGACAACATCTGTTCTCGTCAATATATCTGGAATAGCAACGGACGCTGCAGAGTGACCCGCCGCGAATTATGTTTCCTGCGCTGCATCCACCAGTATTGACGCCTTCGCCGACTATCTTGCCGACGATCATCTCATCCACATAAAAGTTTAGCGAAATCTTGCCCATAATTACGATCAGAACAGGTCCTTTGGGCCACAGCAAGATTCGAGGTTAGCCAGAAGGCGGGGGAAGAGAAAGGCGCAGCGATCTCTCTTGGCACTCGCATATGAGACTTCTGGGTGTCAAAACGGCTTTGTTTCAACTGTGGGATATTAATGTCGTGTATCGGGGTGCGCTTCATGAACCGAGTGATGAGAAGGAGTTTGGTGAGCAAACGACGAGAGAGGCGGATTGTTTTTGTTGATATTGATCTGGAGCAATTGGCGGCACATCGCGCTGAGCCCTAGCAAGCGAACCATTGTGACGGCTTCCTGAACGCAGCCAGATACTTCGCCACAAAGATCAACACTCCGTAGCGTTCACCTTGTTGTCGAGGAATGCAACTAGGGCAACCAACAGAGTACCTGCCAAGTTTAGTCCTTTGCTCTGTGGTCTAAAAGTGTCTCGGAGGAATACCCGCGGTCACGACATAGCTGCCGATTGTGAAGCCAGTCTGTATACTACTTTGAACATCCGCATTGAACATTTTCGAGGCCACGACAGACCAGACGATCGATATAATCAAACTCAGCACGATGGGGAAGAGAATCACTATACTAGTGACTTGCGGATCCCAGCTGCGTATGATATTAAGTGCGTGCCGCTGTTTGTCGGGTGATGCTAATACTTCCTCGGTGACGAGTCTGTTTGTTATGGTATCGCCATCCAATTCTGATGGATGTTCGAAGTAATGGGACTGGCGGCCATAGGGTCCATATTGACCTAGATCCAGTGTATCTTTGAGTCGCTTGCCTGCTGTGTTGCTGTTATGAAGCTAGAGGTAAGCAGGAGTGTTAGACTGTAAACGAAGAGACAGAAGGATGATAATGTGATCTTACCTTTACCACATCGATCCTTTGGACTGACTTGACGCTGATCAACCCGAAGAGTCCGCGTCTTGTGCATTGCAGGTCGTAAAACATACGCAGATGTGTAAAAAGGCCTTTATCGTCCGCCCTACATGAACAAGGAACTGAGAAACGGCGGCCATTGTCCAAAAAGATGATAACTTCCAAATCAAATTCTGGCTGGGCTCTCCAAGCCATGGTATAATCCATGATGAAATCCATTTCGTTCCTTGCACAAAGATAGTACATGCGCCAGAAGTTTTGCCATTCAGGCGTTCTCTGGGACCGTACTCTAGCCAAGACGATTGACTTGGAATTTAGTGAGACCATCTAATCTACCCAAGGAGGTTTCGGTGCACATACCAATATATAATCTCGAATATCAAATGTGCTAGCGAAATCTCGGCGGCCAATTCCGAGATGGGAGATGATGATTGCACAGGCTCTAATTTTGAGCCATAATACATAACAAATAAGCCTTAACCCAACGAACTGCAATTGGTTACTTGCACGGCGGACGAGCATTAAACGCCATCCCACAATCTGAAAAATGTTGGTAACTCCCAAGGGTCTTTGCTCTTGCTGATGAGTATTAAGCGCATGCGAAATGAAAGTCATTATCTTAACGAAAACAGTGTGAAAGATTACGTGGGAGATTTAAGTGTAAGACACAATGGAAAGGCTGCAAGCTTTGCAGCAAGGCTACAGTGTTTATATAGACAGCTTGCAACGTAGCCTGCTGCAATCCTCTTGACAAGTTTTGGACACGATTGGACCGAGCTAAAGCCATGTGGTTTTACCAGGCGTGACGCTGGCCCTAGGCGACATTGGCCATTCATCGAAAGGTGGCTGTGTGCAACATAGCAGCTGGCAATCCCAAAGTAGCAAGATCCGCGTTAGAGTGGAACTGTGGCTAGGACTCACGTCCAATGACTGACGACAGTAATTTTCGATACAGTTGTTTTGTTTGCTTGTCTGTATAGCGACTGAGCATGCCACCGTTACGGCCCGCTATGAGCGCAGCCTCATAGGGCTATATGTATGCACTACCTCGTCTATAGAGAAGTTGTGGAAAGTCGGATATCGCGTAAATCATCCATGAAGTCGGTGATAACTGGGATGTGGTGATGGAAAAGTGGTGAGACTGGCGTGCCAGCCTTGGAGCGATCTGGCGCTGAATTTGCCCGGCGCCCGCTTGGACAACCCCGCCTCCTCCGCCCGCCTATTCAGCACATCGTCCAACATCATTTCGTCACCACTCCCGATGCACTGTGCCAGACTATCGTGATGGCATTACAACGAAACACCTCCATTATTCAGGTTGCGACTATTAGGAAACATTCATTTTGAAGTTTTTACACTGTGTCCTGCAATTGTTCCTTAGCTGAAGATTGCTACCCCACTAACAGCAAACAGTTCGGGAGCCTGATGAGGCTCAATCACGAACGTAACATTTACGTGATTCGAAGAAAGCCTTGACATATGTCTCAATATGGTCAGAATCGCGATGTTCTCCGAGAACGCCATAGCAATGCATCATATGATCCCTGTCCAGATACACGTCAAGAAAAGCTCCATGAGGTCGCGAGACGGCTCTGATGGATCCGTTGACCAAGTAACGACAATGTGTGTGGTGTTCTTCAAAGGTCACCCAGAGCCCATCTGGGTACCTGCTGTTATCACCTTCCATGACTGTGTTTTGATGTACCCGGTGCTCGCCAGTTCGATCCTCGAAGAAACCGTAGTCCTTGCCATCCACGAAGTCGTGATGCATAGTTGCGTCAAAGCAAGGGTCTGGAATCCAACCGTTGGCAAGAAGGTCGAAAGAACAGCCTGATTTCCGCGCCGACGAAGGGTCTTCTGGGCAGGCTATGAATGTGCCTTTGTCGTCATGCTGGATGGGTAGGCTGGTATGATTGAACGCGCCACTCCGCGTACTTGCGGCGAAGAGGAGGTAGGTGACTGGAATCAGCAGCACCAGAACAGCGGCAAGAGACACCATAACGACACCTTTCGGTAGACGCCCGCGTCTTTCTCTGCTGTGATGGTTCTCTGGGGTGCCAGACTCAGGGTTGGGTATGGGAACATATTCTTTTCCACTGTCGTGCCGTGAAGACTTCGTCAAGAAGGCTCCCATCATCTTGATTGCCTTCTTGATTCGATCGAATTCCGATAACTGGCCTTTGATTTTGGCCCGATCGTATAGGTTGGAGAGGATGAACTGTGCTGGCGAACTAGACTGCGTGTTGCTAGGAAAGTCGCCTAGTATGTTGAGATAGACAATGTTTTCTTGGACCGTTCAATGATGAAGTTCGACGCCAATCTCGGATGCTACCATTCTGAGCAAATCCGGAAGCTGCTCACATGATCACGTCGCAACATGCATCGTCTACTACGGGAGCGGAACGTTGAGCCGGCGGAAATACCCCGATGACTAACATGTAGTAAGCAGTTGCTGAGTAGAGACTCATACAGACGTGGGCGGTGTGGAGTGAGATTCGGCTAGATTAAGTTTGTGGCCTCACATCGTACGGCCAGTGCAGCATGGATCATAGCAACGGGCAGGTGCTTAGCGCCTCGGCCCGAAGCGCAGATCCGTAGCTGCAAGAATTCAGCGTCTTACTGCATAGTGGTGAGCATGGAACAGTCCCTGTTCGAAACCGCTTTGCTTGCATTACGGAAATCTCCATTAGCCTCTTGCATGTTTCTTCCTAGGGATGTATGTGTCGCTCTCCTTCTCATTTCCAGCGGTAGATTGGTGAAAGCATCTCGAATTGTCGATTCGAAGGATGAGAATGCGAAATCTGGGGGCGGGGTTTGTGGAGAGCTACGTGGCCCCGAGGCGCGTCAGTGACCATAGCACCGATTGACGACGTGATGTTCATCTGGTTCTGTGCATTTTCGGCATAGTGATGTCTTGCAGATGCATGTCAAGACTGCCCAGCGGGCTTATGTTCACCGGTGCGATCTTGGCAAACACTTGCATGCGGATGTGCGTCGGCGGTTTCCAGCATCGGTCCGACCGGCACGTTCCTACTTGGGTAGGCGTACTTGCTATAGTTCTCGATCCAAAGCTTTGTCATCGCGTCTTGAGAAACGTGACTGGCATATCTACGTAGTTAGCACGGGTAATCGTCGGGATATCCGTCACGTAGAGAGAACAAGTTCTTCGAGATCTCGGTGTTGACAGCTCCAAAATCGAGCGCGATGATTGATTACATGCGGGGACGACGGGGCGAAAATGGTCATCTGCATACATGGGTGTTCTGCACTGCGTATAGGCACTCTTGATGTCCGGTTGAGATGGCACATTACTTACCTACGTAAGTACGCATGCTGCGAGAACAATGCATGTTTCTTCGGATCTGACGGAGGCCTCATTTTCTATGGCAATTGTAAGCATTCACGCATGCGTACTTCTCACGGGCATCTACCACCGGGAAAACATCGCAGCGACTAATCCATGTATGCTTCAGCAAGATCATGAGAGCCTAAGTCTAACGTTCAATGACGGTCTAGGCACAGCAAAGTATCTGGAAGCTTCTACAGAACTCATTTCCAGTGCATTCACGCTACATTAGTGTTTCACAATATTGTACACCAAGGTGGCAGCCTTGCATAATGGAGACCTGTATTAAGTATAGACTCATTGTTCTAAGACTTCAATCCCTTGCAGCGAAGCGCGGATCCAGGACGATGAATCTCCGTCTCGCCTGGAAAGCTAATGTTCCCTGATAACAGTTCGGTACAATGCCTCGTATGTTTGGAATTCGCTGCAACGTGATTCAAGAAAACATCCTGGTTGCCAGAAGAAGCCATCGACGCAGCTAATGCTGCAAGCTCAAGGATGTATACACAATGTATCGTATGATATTTGTCGAATGTCCAGACTGTATCATGTTTTGAGATCTCCACGGGGTCTTCTGGTATCGGCTCTGTGAGATTTTCCCAACGGAAGAACATCGGTTTTGGGATCTTCGCAGCATATTCTTCGGATAGGGCTGCATTGTAGCACTCTGGTGGCGTCCATTGGGGAGCAACAATATCATATATACATCCGGCTGCGATTGCTGTTGAGTAGTTGCTACCGCAATCGGTGTACGCCTTTGATGGTTTCGGTGCTTCGTCGGTTTGCTGTGTCGCAGATACGCGTAGCCATGCGAGCGATCCGACAACAATTGTGAAAAGGAATAGGGACACAGCCACTAGGTTCGCGTACGCAATGCCTCGACAGGGCTTTGACCAAAGCGATCCTGAAATGTTCTTTTGGAGTAACGTGTCTTGCTCTTCTAGGTCTTCTGGAACTGGCTTTTGACGATAGTTGTCAAAGTCAGGTTTCGGTGAATTTGGTAGAAGTGAAAACGCCGGCATCGTGATATGTATCCGATTTTCTTAGTGGTAGCGATGAGTTGGACTGTAATTTCAACTATGGTTCCCTCTGTCTGATAATTGTTACTTATGATGAAAGGTTCCGTCTCTGTCGCCTGTCAGACGTAACCTTGGTAGTGATTTTCCGGGGAAACTCCGAGGCTGACGCATCTTACTCAGCGACCTTCCTAGATTCACAAGCTAATACACTAATGCGTTTTACTATTAACGTGGGTGTATACGCGATGCGACCTGGCAGTGCACGTCAGGCTGTCTGACATGGACCAGGTGTGTTAATTGCGTTGTTAAAGTTCCGGGTACGAGTTCGCCATGCGTCGGTCCGAGTAGTTAAGCCGCACTACGACTGCTACGTATACCTAGGAAGTCCCCACCTTGAGTTACGCGAAACCGAAAGACTCTCCATGAAGGTTAGCACGAACTCTCAATCACATGTTTGGTAAGGTCATTGTGTCTCTATCATCAGAAAGATGATGCCGATCGAACAACGATGCGGATCGGATCGCCCAAAGAGCATCCGGCCGTGTCCACGGCGGACGTACCTGCTGAATGCGAATCACAAAGCTGACATCGGGATATGAAGCGCCTCGATTTAACTAGCTATCGTCTCAGTAGCATGAGCCGCAAACGTTACCAAAACTCAATGTCACCAAAAGAAATCCAAGGAATCATGTCACGACAAGAGGAAGACGAGGACTGGAAATCTTTGACCGATGCTAATGAGCGAAGAAGAGTACAAAATCGAATCGCGCAGCGCAACTATCGTAGGGTACCCACCCCAATTAGACCCCATTCATGACTAATTCCATAGGCCGTAACATCAAGCGTCGACTACAGCAACTGGAGGTGTTCAATCGCAGCACATCAGATAGCCCACCAACAACACCCAAAGGAAAGCAGCAGTCTTGTCGAACGCCACCGAAAGAATCAACAAAATCGAAGCATACACGTCGAGATTCTATCAACCCCACGGCCCCAGATACACTATTGCCTGATCTGGAGACGGGCAATGGACCGGACGACCCTTCTGTCCAAGCTTTCCTGTTCGGCAGTACAGGAGAAGCAGGGAACATTTCGTCAATATCCAATCAAGAAAACAGCAACGTCGCCTCGCAACAAAAGAACGAAATGACCAACGTGTTTGATTTGACAACTCCCCTTACGCATCTAGAAAACGATATCATCTTGTTTGTATGTCTGCTCCAGCCTCTTTTGCTCCATATCTACTCATATTGGAACGCTGACACGGCCTTGAATAGGGTCGATCCACTGTCCCGTCATCGGTGTCCACTACCTCATCGAATTCTACCTTACCTACAAGCCTCAATGCTCTGCAGAAAGCTGTGATAAAAGGACGTGATAGTATTGCAGAGCTTCTCGTTGAGAATGGAGCAGACGTCTATATTGTAGATGATTACGGGAACAACATCCTACATCTCGCTGCACAGTCCGGCCATGCGTCCTTGATATCATTCGGGTTGTCGCATTGCGTGAATGTCAATGCCACCAATGTGGCAGGAGAGACGCCATTACATGTAGCGATAGAGCATGACTACGTTGAAATCGTTGACATGTTAATCAGAGCTGGAGCAGATATGGAATTTAAGTCGTAACAATAATCGACATCAAACTGTTGCGATGGAAGATGTGCTCGTGACGAATCATCTGTGTTGAACTCGGTTGTGGCTTGCTGACTTGCCTACATCATGAAAGCAAGCCAAGCAGCTACTGCTCCAGGAACCCCAGTCCAACCTATTACCCATACTATAGCATGCTTTTCATTTAGATTTTGTGCAACCCAGAAAATGGCACTACTGATAAGGGCCGCAATGATCTGGGGTGAGGATATTGCAGTGTTGTGCAAACCAATGATTGTGCCGCCTTGTACCACGCTCCATACGTTTTCATCCTCTCCTTTAGCAGACTCTTCGTCAATAGAATACTTTGCTGTCTCCTCCCCAATTATGGCGAATGGTACCCACTGAGTCACACCCCATGAGATACCGGCAATAGCAATCATGAACGTTGCTGTCGCACTCGATGATACCAAGGTCGTGGATAAAACGCTCGTCGCATAAAGCGCCTGACTAGAACTCCAAATGGTAGGTAGTATAGAAGAGCTCCGGACACCTTTATCGCGGATTCTCGCCCTTGCACACATAGACATCAACATCTCTGAGAGTCTCGGCAGCGCGATGTTCGTTGCTAGAGCTACAATGGCGAAGAGCAGATTTGCCCTAGCTCCTAGCCTCATCCCATGGTCCTTAACTGATGAGCTTATCGTGACATTATCGCTTATCTGCTCGTCGACGTAGAGCTTTCCGATCAAGCTTGTACTGTAGAATAGAAACCCAAACCATCCGAGCCAAGAGAAGAACTGGACGAGATAGACGTGTCGTACCCTATTGGAAGCTTGCGAGAAGCCATCGAGAAGGTTTCGGAAAACTCGATAGACTGGGCGCTCAAGACCCGGGTCGTACGTTGACATTAAGGGATCTTCCTCTTCGGTATAGTAACAAGTGATAAGTGACGTGGCGATGAGTGCGAAAGTAGTCCAATAAACCATGTATCGGAACCGCATGGCTTCATAATCACCAGAGATCCAAGGCAGCGGTAAGGACCCAAGAACATAGCCGATAATGTTTCCTATACCAGCAAAACGGCCTGCCCATGCGCTTGCTATGGCTTGTTGTTCTCGCGGACAAATGTCGACATGCAACGAGCGAAGGCCAAGTTGGAGCGGCTGGATCGAGATGTTGAGGATGACAATCGCTAGAATAGCAACAGTCCGCGTAACAGTTCCCCACCATCCGTTGGCGTTACTTATGCCGAAGAGCGTGCAGACCGCTACCGAAATTGGCTCCGACCAGGCTAATGTTGTGGCTGCAAAGATGGTAGATAGTACTCCGCCGAGGATAAATGGTCTTCGTCGGCCCCATGCAATATGTGATCGATCACTGATGACACCCATGATAGGTTGAATGGTTGACCCACAGAGTGGTGCAACTGCCCATATGAGCGATGATTGAGTTGTGGATATACCGAGAGAAAACAGGTAGGATGAGCCGTGGGAGAAGATCGTGGACCAAAGAATCTGTAAGCTGCAGCTTGAAGTTAGTTGCAAGAATGTCGTTATCACCTCGATATGTGACGCACCCTCCAAATCCACATGCCATGGCTACGAGTGATGGAGTGGACAGTTGTCGAGACCCCTGTTTTGATCGTTCCGCGAGAGTTCTGGCACCCATCATACAGACACTCGAGGGTGTAAAGCCGCCCTCAGAAGCCGTGAGAGGTAAACATGAACGTCCCTCCTCTTCCAACGATTGTGAGGCCACGCCTTCAGCTATCTGTAGCTTCTCCATGTAATCTGATGACCAAAGCGTGTCGGGTGAGGTCTTGATCCTCAGATAAGATGATTCGAGCTGCAATACTGGAACGAGCATACCAGCACTCCACGTGAAGTTACTGCACGGTCTCCACCCATCGCAGCCAGTGACGGAGCTCCAGGGGAAGAAAAGCTTACTACAAGGGTATAGTAATCATACGTGTAAGACACGAAACTCACCTATTCGCATCAGATCTAGTGTCTTTACTCTCGTTGCTGATGGTGTTGTCATCACCATCAGTTGACAGTGTGGCCTGTCTCTCCAGGCGGCTTTCAATCTGCGGTCGCGCTGACCCAGCGTTCCATGAACCAAATGCACAGCATTGCTTACTATCTTTGACATTGCGCGAATCATCAGTGAGTCTTCTTAGACTAGAAATGCCTACTTTGATCGAGATGACTTCGTGGTTGAGTGATGGCAAAATAGGCGGGCTGGCAAGCGTCGGGCGCAGCGTTGCGCTGAACAGCGACCCCAGGGACGCGCCGGAGAAAATAGAGCCCACCCCGAGCTCTGCGCTCACCAACCCAGCTACGACACAACGACCAAACTAACAACCATCCGTAACCTGACCACTCGTCGACACATACCCAAACCCGGTGCGAGTACTCTCCGCTATGCTTCTGAGTAGTATCTCCGATCTTGACTTAAGCCGTCACGCACTGTACCGAGACTGCGCTTTGTGATCAAAGCCAGCCAACTTTCGCACTCTGCACACGTCCACGCACAATTCATACTGCTGTTCATTGGAACCCTCTCCTTTACTCATTTCGTTGCTTCACAAGGTTCGTTTTGAATTTGCGCAAATCGGCTAGCTACGTTTCAAATGGCCTTCGCTGCCTAGGATGATAACTAAATACAATTGCGTCGAACAAGTCAAGCAGGAACCTGACAACTGGAATACCCGGCTTCTGTTCGAGTACGTATCTCGTCGAGGAAGGAAGTAGGCATATCAAGATGCTCCATCAAAGTTTGGCTGCAATGCTCAGTATGATGCATTTGGATAACATGCTTATCCAATAACCTTCCGTTCTTCTCAAACCCTTCATGCAATCTTCTCCACATCAGAGCACAATGAATCATGTGCTCCCGCACTGGTGTCCAATATCCATCTGGTATGAGGTATTCCGACATCTCCTCCTCTGTGAGCTGACGAGTAGCGTTGGCAGAGTCATATGCCAGCCAGGGAGCCATGCGCTTGAAGTCGGCGAGATTTTCCGTGTCCAGACAGGGAGTAGGAACCCAGATATTCCCTAGCACATCGTATGTGCAGCCGTTCGTGCGCGCCTCAGCTGGGTTAGATCCGCAGCTCAATGTCTTCATCTTAGGACCATGCGGTGGAAAGGGACGGAAGACAAATCCAACAAGAACTGTCAGTCCTACTGCCAACAAAATGTTGATAATGTAGGGTAATAGTGCATATGGCGATCGTGTTTCACCAGGCCTCGCATCCAATTCGTGTTTGTTGGGTCGGGTTGGTGTGTCTTCGCTTTGGTCTGAAGTAGAGGATGATGCAAAACTCGGGTACGTCGCCGGGCGTCTGAGAAGGGAGTGAATCATGGCTTTTACCACGCCGATAGGACTGTCGAAAAAGTCCGAGTAGACTGGAGACATTTCACTTGCGCTTTGGCGCGTTGAAGAGGGTATGAAGCTGGGCGAAAAAGGAGAGCTATCGCGAAAAGGGATCGGAATACTCAAATGTCGAGTGGATGTATGTGAGTTTCTGGAGACTCATTCCGCAGGAACATCGTTCTGTCGCTTCTGTGCGAGCTAGAATCCTCGGTTGTCATCGAGTGCGTGCGCCCATTGTCTTGCCATAGTCAGCCGTAATTGTCTCGTGAGATGCTGACTACAGCCCCACAATTGACCATTTCAAGTTAGCTTTCTTGATCCGATTAGGGAATCCACTATCTTCACTCCGCATTACATCGAAGAGAATAACGAGATTTCCGATCTCCTTCTTGACGCAAAGACTTTCAGCAACTATGAAGCGACTCAACTTGTTTATCACATCGCTTTTTGCTGTAACTAATGTTTGCCGAGCATCAGAGCCAGTGCAAATATGCCATAACGATCCAGCGCTGCATTCGGATGCATGCATGGCGATAAACACTGTTAAATCGCAGCATGCAAGAGGACATGATCTGCTCATGACCTTCTCCGTCAAGTTCCATCAACGTAACGGCTGGGCAGCCTTTGGAGTTGGAGAGACCATGGATCGCGCTTTGATGTTTGTGTTATGGCCAGGAGAACAAGAAGGTGGTGAGTTGCCTCGTTATTAGATACTCGTATAAGGACGTGCTGATATGGCGGAGACACTGTCTTGTCATTGCGCTCGACAGTTGGACACGACGCACCACATTCGCTCAAGAATCAGAGACAGGTTCACGTCCATAGGACGGAAGTTGATGGGAATGGCTTCCATGTCCTGCAGGCCACTTGTTACTCGTGCGAGACGGTCGGTTTAGGTCCACTGAACGCTTCCAGCGAACAACAACCATGGTTGTTTGCGAGCAGCTCTATACAAAAGACCAGAACCAACGACCCAAACTTGAGGATGGATATGCATACAGATTATGGTAAGCTATAAGTCTTGTAATCCTGAAAAAGTACTTTCTGACTGCGACGAAGGTCTCAAGTTCCTCAACATGGCACAGGCGATATCCACGAACCAAGCCGAAGAGTATCCAATAATCACTGGAGATCGTTCTTCGACTCATGCTCTGGGCTCTTCCGAGCTTCATACACCAGTGATCCGCTCCTCCATCAACATGTGGGACGCGCATGGAGCGATACTATCTTTTGCAGTCGTTCTCAACTGTATTGGAATTCTCTTGATCCGTAGCGGACTTAAGTGGGCGTTTCGTGGTCATTGGCTGGTGCAAGCAATCTCTGCCTCTGGTCTATTAGTTGGCTGTCTCATTGGTGTCATAAAAAGCACACACCTATTTCAGGTATGTGGTCAATGGCGTGGACAGCATTCATGCATAGCTAACATCTCGAAGATTGGAAGTTTCACGTCGATACACAAGATCATTGGTCTTGCGATCGCTGTCGCAGTGCCGGTTCAGATCACGTTCGGTTACAAACACCATATGAACTACGTCAAGTACGGAGAGCGGACTAGATCTTCCTCGGTTCATGTTTATCTTGGTCGTGCCCTCTTTCTAACTTTGAACCTCAATGTCTTCCTTGGGCTTTTACATGGAAAGAAGAGCATCACGTTACGATGGCTCTGGGCGATGGTGGTTTCCATTGAGATGCTGGCAGTAAGTATGATGATGTTTGCGAAGCGCACCGACAACAAGAAGGGCTATGGGCAAGTGGAAGGCGAGGAATTTGATCCTTTTGTGATTGGAGACGAGGAAGAGAAGCTGAGGGATCCTGAATCATTCGACGAGGGATCTAGCAAGGGCAGCACTGACTCCTAGGATTCGGTACTCAATGTTCGAGTGCGGAAGATCTCAGCGAGGCTCCAATGCCGAGATAGCTTATAATCAAGCACATCTCCACAAGCATACCAGTCTAACGTAGCCATCGTCACCATAACCTCTAGAGAATGAAGTCTAAACGAAGTTCAGGCAACTTATCGATTCCTACGAAACATGACTATTTATAGCCATTGCCTCGCTCTCAGGGATATATGCACGTCTTCGACCAAAGCGAAATACCCGTGTTCTAATCCTTGCTTGATCGATGGGCTAGCAAGATCATGGTGTTCACGTACACAGTACTGTGAACATGCACTGGAACTAAACTCAGCACACCGCTATATGCACGTTCTCAATACTGAATATTTTCATTTTGGCCTATAGAAGGGATCGCACTAGTGCTCGTGTTCTTGACATTCACTTTATCCGTGGCTAAATCGAACCACATGTGATAGACTTGTGAACAAACGTTCCATCCAGAGCAGTGATATACGTCGTCATTCGTTGTGACTAATGACTAGTGTCGATGCTTACACAGACCCCACAAGGCTGTAGTAACAGTGTAAAAGTGATCGGCTCGTGCTGAGTAAAGTCTAATGATTAGCTATCTGTGAACAGTAATCATCCATTCGCGTAAGCGATCAGTCACGTCTTGTGTCATGGTAAGAAAAAAGAATCCGTAAGGTAATCGCTTACCCTAACTTCAGTACGTAGACATTACCCGAAACCATCACCGAGTCTTGCGAATGTTCAGTGGAGTAAGGGTAAGCCGAGTTTGTACTGAGTAAGACTCAATGAGAGTACCAGTGAGTAAGGCTCGGGAGAGTTGGGTTCGAACATCGCCGAATCGACAGCTAAGTCCTTGGTGGTGCAGACTGGCTGGGCAGCCTCGTCGTACATAAGAAGAACATCCTACCACCGGCTGAACACCATCACAACGAAACGAACCATCAATTCACATTCCAACACGATCTTTCTAGCATCGTCTGTCCTTCCCCTCATCCGTCAATATGAAGTCGACTACCATTCTCTCCGTCCTGATGGGCATGACCACTCTCGTCTCTGCACTACCTGTTGCAGACGCCAATGGCCTCGGCCTCGTCGAACCTAGTAAGCAAGCCACGAGACCTGGGTGGTGCTGAAAGTTTTCTAACCAACCTTATCGTTCCAGTTGGGCTTGCCAAGCGAATGCCTCAGAAGAAGATCGACGCAGTCGACGTTGAGAAGCGTCAAAAGAAGATCGATGCTGTGGATGTTGAGAAGAGACAGAAGAAGATCGATGCCGTCGACGTTGAGAAGAGGCAGAAGAAGATTGATGCAGTTGACGTTGAGAAACGCCAAAAGAAGATTGACGCTGTAGACGTCGAGAAGCGTCAGAAGAAGATCGATGCCGTTGACGTTGAGGTGAGCCACAACACTACAAAACCTACGCAAAACATAGGCTGACTTCGTACCTCCACTTGCACAGAAGCGCCAAAAGAAGATCGATGCTGTCGACGTCGAGAAGCGCGAACCTCAGAAGAAAATTGACGCTGTCGATGTTGAAAAGCGCCAGAAGAAGATTGACGCCGTCGACGTCGAGAAGCGCGAACCCCAGAAGAAAATTGATGCTGTAGATGTTGAGAAGCGCCAAAAGAAAATCGACTCAGTTGACGTCGAGAAGCGTGAGCCTCAAAAGAAGATTGACGCTGTCGATGTTGAAAAGCGCCAGAAGAAGATTGACGCTGTTGATGTGGAGAAGCGCTCTCCTCAAAAGAAGATTGACGCGGTCGATGTTGAGTAAAGCACTACTCTCATTTTCACAGATCGTCGGTTCTGTGAACAATCACGCCCAGCCTACAAGATTGCTTGGGATCATGACTTGCATGAATGACGAGGAATTGGACGACAGATGGTAGTTGACAGATATGGTTGGGCATGATGTTATGGTGGATGCGAGGTGTCTTGTAGCCTAGTCCACTCGTTTGGTCGTACTTTGAGAAATTGACTTTGTTTTCTTCGATTGTGGTGGTGCCCGAAAGTTATGCATTTACCTGCTTTCTTGCACTGCAGAGGTGAAGTGGAAGGAAAGGATAAGCTAACATAGATTATAAGCGAGTTGCGAATCCAAGCGAGTTGCGAGCCCCACCAACCTTCTGCACCTCTTAAAGCATATAATTCAACCACGTAACAAAATAGTATATAGATATTAATACAATAGATTAA